GTATGTCGCGTTGCCCAAAATTGAAAAGAAAAATAGTGCAGGCGCGAGGCCTTCACAGCGGGTGCTAGAGTTTTTGACTATGGAAAGGGTCCATAAGTATGGTACTACGCCATGCAAAATATTGTTAACCCACTGATTTGAGGTATTCGTGAACCGAGCTGAGTTAGGTGGTCAGGAAGTATACACAATGAATAAAACGTGTAACATTTACATAGCAGACTGCGCTTGTCCATCCAAGCGATTGGATTATCCAGGCCATAGAAGTGCTGTGGCGTAGCGGGGGCTTCTCTTCCACTTCAATACTACTCGAGATCCACCAAGCTAATAGTCCAGTCACGACCACAAATACCATTGCGCTCGCGTATTGAAGAGCGATTGTTTTCTTTGGAGTTACCTCATCTTTTCTTCGGCTATGGCCGCTGATCAATAGAGGAGTTTCTTCATCTTCGAGAGATGTGGTGACTTGATAATTTGATGCTTTCCAGCGGTAGTAGTAGACCTGGATTAGCAAGATGAGATCGCAAAGTGTATACTGTGGAACCAGTATGAAAAGATGATCAGGAAAACAGCTGATGATAGACTCACGTATGCGCCTAGCAAAATCATAGTGGGAAGAAGGCCAGCTAGAATAGCCCCTGCCAGGTTGGTGGTATCGCCTATTAACCATATGTAAACGAAGAAGATACTGAGGCCTTCTCCTGATTGTAAAGAATAATTTTCGTATATTTGAGGCGAATAAACCTGAGATATACATAGATGGTCCCGGTCAGTGTTCAACGAATCTGCTTAGGGGAGACTCGGGCATACCACAATCCTAGGAGCAAACATCAGCTTGAAATAAGTGTGTAATAAAAACGACCATACCAGCATGCAAGAGAGCTCCAACCCAGCTAACAGGAAATTAAAGTTGTTGATATAATGATAGACAGACTAAAAAAGGCATACGATGCTGCTCAATGTATCATTGAATGGCGGCGACATGGAAGAATATTGAGCGCTTTGACAAAGCTTTCACGTAATATTTCACAGACATCTGCCGCGCTTTGCCGATTCCGTACGCGTCTCTTCTGTTATGGAACCTCCAGACGCTTTTCGCCAGTTTGCTAAACAAGTGAGGAAAGTAGGAAATGGTGGTCCACCTCAAGGCTTTGTTTTTGGAACTGGTTTGCTAGTTGCCCTCGCTGTTGGTGGTATTGCGTTGAACGCCAGTCTTTTCAACGGTGCGTTGTGTTGCTGTGTATCAAAGAAGAAAAAAGCTCATTAGCTTCGTGTTTTACAGTTGATGGTGGTCATCGTGCAATTAAATATACACGGTAAGCACAGTTGGTATGTAGATATCTGTGCCCGTCCAATCTTCGTCCAGGTTAAACGGTGTCAAGGAAGAAATCTATCCTGAAGGTACACATTTAGCAGTATGTGAACATTACTCACCTCTATATTCGCCTATTGAACACATTATGCAGATCCCTTGGCTCGAACGGCCTGTACTCTTCGACATCCGTGCCAAACCGCGGAATATTGCCAGTTTAACTGGAACAAAAGGTGAGTAATACCAAACCCTTACCGTAGCAAGTTATTAAAAATGTTCTAGATCTCCAAATGGTGAACATCACTTGCCGTGTATTATCTCGACCCTCCATAAAAGCTTTACCCACCATCTACCGAGAACTCGGACAAGATTATGATGAACGAGTTTTGCCTTCCATCGTAAATGAGGTGTTGAAGAGCGTCGTGGCGCAGTTCAACGCAAGTCAACTGATTACACAACGAGAACATGTATGCCTCATGGTTGTTCTGTTTCCATCTTACTAAAGTGTTTGCCGTTTTTCCAAGGTTTCGCGGCTCGTCCGTGAAGGTTTGACCAGGCGTGCTCTTCGGTTCAACCTTGTCTTAGAAGATGTGTCAATCACTCATCTAACGTTCTCTCCCGAGTTTACACATGCTGTTGAGGCGAAGCAAATCGCACAACAAAATGCTCTCCGGGCTGCTTTCTTAGTTGATCAGGCGGTGCAAGAGAAGGAGGTAAATTTTATGTTTTGTCATACTGAACCGGATCTTGGGCTGATATCCTTCTAGTCAATTATCGTTCGCGCTAGTGGTGAAGCCAAGAGTGCTGAACTCATTGGAGAGTCCCTGCGGGGAAACAAGGGATTCCTTGAGCTTCGGCGACTGGAAGCTGCACGGGACATTGCAAATCTTCTTGCTACATCAGGGAACAAGGTGATGCTCGATGCGCAAAGTTTGCTTTTAAACGGTAAGGAATTATACACGGTCTTTTACGGTTATTAAACTAACTCTTTCTCTCTTCCAGTTGCTGGTGAAAATGTCAACGATCTAGCAAAGTCGAAACGTGCATAAAACATAGGTGTATCGTCTATAACGGAATAATATACTTTTGCTTTCTTCAAGCTCTTGGGCCTATAAACCCCCTGTGCTATAACCAAAGTATGGGATTGGAGCCTGCCAGTGGCCTTTCTTCATGTAGATCATCTCTTGTTACCTCGAACGGCTATAATTGCCCATATTTCACGAAATTTTCGTAGAAAGCAACCATGGGGCGACATTTGCCAAACAGCATATATTTGCTGCTCTTGGTATTTACTCATAGCAGAGATCTGCTGTGTAAAATTTTCATCAATGCGCGCTTGTTCCTCGTTCCGCTCGTTCATAGTTGCAGGTTGGTGTTTCTCTGGTTGGCATATCAGACATCCCCTTAGTTTGTTAGGCAGGTGCAGAACATGAGACCTCTCATTGTAACGTACGAAAGCTTCAAGAAGAGCCCCGAAATCTTGACGCAGTTTCGTGCTACAGACAAAGGCGAGTGAATAGAATCTGAACTCGAAAATGATCAACTAACAGTGTTTTTTAGCTTTGAAGTGCTTCGATGGAAAAGTAGGGAGTCTGCTTGAGGATGAGGTGCTTGTCACTTCCCCAAATGTCAGCTACCTTTATGCCCCACCCCTTAACATACGCCGGGTGCGACTGCGAAAAGATGGGCACTTCGGGACAGACGACCCACTGTACTACCCACAACCCTTCTCACCATCGACCCCTCATCTGGCATTGATCAGAGTACCATCCTTGGATATCCAAAATGAATTTTATGCGGCATGGATGGTTCCCAGAGATAAAGATTTTGTCGAAGAAGAAACCTCGAGCACTCAGAAGGGCCCGGGCAAAGCTAGTCGTAGATTTCGGGAGCTATTGCGAGTGTTAGGGCAGTCGATACTCGACAAGGTCAACGGCAGTGAACAGCACGACCAATTCCTCGTAGAAGGCACTGGAAGGCTACAACTGGAACTCAGTCGACTCGAGACCCCTGCGTCGCGTAAAGTGACACTGCTTCGAGTGGGGTTGATTCAACGTTGGATACTTGAAATCGATGCGCGTCTTCGGTGGCTCAGCAACCAATGGCGGCACCGATTTAGCGGGGACAGGACACGGGTACATGGGGTGCAGGATATTATTGGTGCATTTGTGGAAAAAACCCAAGATGCCGATATACTATATTATGCAGGAGTTCCTGTTTGGCTGGTCCGTCTGTCCACAAATTGTCCGGATGCACGGGTAGACAGTGTCGGGGACGTGATACAAGAAGATCACCAACAGCGGGTAAAGCTTCACTGTGGTTATCTGCTAAACTGTGCAGATGAGCAGCCGTCGAACCAGGTCATCTACGTTGGGCTGGCTAACAAGAGCGACCGATACACCGCGATGGCTGAGTTCATGGATGCCCAGTTCCAAACGCCGTCGCTTTTTGGGCTTCCTGAAACAACAAAACGTGTGGTTCGCAAAATAGCATTTCCAGTGCATGAAGAAAAGAAGTCAAGAGGGATAGAACCATGGGGTAAGCAATATGCACCGAAGAAATTTGGCAAAAGCTGATAAATATTCTCGCACAGGCTTGAATCGAAAAAGTGGTCGCAAGAGTAACCCGAAAGATAGTTACTGCGACTTAGCGAGTCCTCTAATGCCAGAATGCGTTCAAACCTGGGAAAAGGCTCTGAAGAGGCTGGAAAACACTGTTCAAATTCGTCAAGGGGAGGGTAAACAGTGCGGGTTCTTTGTACCTCCTGCACGGTGTCTCATTTCCCCAGGGCGTGTGGAGATCGTGGCAACGCTCTTTCAATCCTGGGTCAAAATACGCGAGATGGTTTTGTCGAAACTTGCTTGCCCGGATAGTCCTCCTATACAGCTGTCGAATAAATTCTGGAGGAGTCTACTGGACGTCCATGGGGGACTCCATACGAGCCTTGTTTCAACAACCAGATCCGGACTACGCCATCTGGAGATGCGCAAGCTACTGGAAAAATCCTACGGTATCAATTTCAGCGACAGGACGTTGGAGAGCCGGGCCGTGTACTGGGAAGGAGAGCTCATTGGGAGCGCAAGCTATCCCAAGAAGAGTGCTGCGCACCGGATCCTTTGGGAACTGTGTGAGGTGAACTTCCGTAATGAGCTTGAGGCGCTGGATGCGCTTCTAGATAGAAGCAGGATGCCGTGGATGGAACGAGACGCTCTACGACGCCAGTGCTGGGTTGGTTCGGCGAAGGATGTCAAGATGTCCGAGGCCAACAAGGGATTAGCGGCACGTTCCGACGAAGATCGGATTCACTATCTGCGCTCTTTGCAGAGGGTGACAAGCCGGCGGAAGTTATGGATGAAATACCAGAAGTCATTGGTGCACACAACTCGTCAATACTGATGGAACGTTTCGAAAATGGAGTGGCATACTTTTATTGCGAGTCATTTATGAAAGCATATGGCAGGGTACCGTCAGTGCCACATCGTCTCTAGGTTGTTCCTTTACTATAGTACATTACTCGATTGGTATTGGTTACTCTCCTTTTCTGGAAAGTGATTATATATCTGGCAATGAAATTTGTAACCGGTACCGCAAAGTTTGTGTCATTTGCTCCGCGCTCCGCGCTCAATCATGGTGAAGATCAAAGAAAAAAGTGGCTCTGGAGCGACAAAAATGTTTCCTACCCAATACTGAACTCCCTGGCTGGGAGTCGAACCCAGCTTTCGCGCGCATAATGATACACGTCATCCATGACGATGACCAAATACTGTACACATGACAGGCGCGTGTACTAAACCGATATACTACCAGGGAATAGTTATTATCTCACTTCTTCTCTTGTATCTGATTATTCTGTCATTGGGGAAAGTCCGGACCTCCGACGGAGGGCGGGGTTTCGGACCCATGACTTGAACGTTTAAGTATGGAGAACCTCTAACGGATCTGAGTCTCCAGCTTTTCTTGCATCCACCATGCTAGCCTCTCAACTTCGATCTAAGCTCCGGTCAAATTCTTTCGCTCTCCTCAATGTTTGTAAAGGGCGAAAATATGCCACTGAAGTTAAGATTCCTGTGAATATTGTAGAGGTTGGGCCCAGAGATGGTCTGCAGAATGAAAAGGGCATAATTCCTGTGGATGTCAAAGTCGACCTCATCGAGAAGTTGGCCCTCGCTGGATGCCAGAATATCGAAGCAGGTAGTTTTGTCAGTCCAAAGTGGATTCCTCAGGTACGCTCACTAACTTCTGCTCTGGTGAATGCGTTGCTATAACACTGTTATAGATGGCAGGAACTGGTGAAATTATCTCTCGTGTTCGAAGATTACCGGACGTACACTACGCTGTGCTCGTACCAAACCAGAAAGGTTTAGATGGGCTTGTCTCCGTTTTGAACGCGCACAATTCTTCACCCGACGCAGATAGTGTCCCTCCACCTTCTGATGAAATATCCATCTTTACTGCTGCTACAGGTACATTACGGTTTATGCCTAGTCTCAATCACCCATTTTACCCGTCTTCTGCAGATGCTTTTGCACAAGCGAATCTCAACACAACCATCGCCGAATCACTCGCCAAACTAGCCCCAGTGGCACGTACAGCCCTTGACAAAGGACTGAGGGTGAGAGGATATGTCAGTGTCGTTATAGCGTGCCCATATACTGGTCAAGTCGACTATAAGAAAGTTCGGGAGGTTGCAAAGGAATTATTCCAGATGGGTTGTTATGAGGTTAGCTTAGGAGATACTGTTGGCCGTGGTACACCGTCACAAATAGCAGAAATGCTTGAGGAAGTGAAGAAGGATGTACCGGTGGAACGGTTAGCGGGACACGTACGCTCTGTTCTTTGTCCTATACCATTCAACTGACTTCTCGAAGTTCCATGATACTTTCGGAACGGCAGTGGCGAACGTGTTCACCGCATTGGAACATGGTGTGCGTACAATTGACTCTTCGGTGGGTGGTCTTGGAGGTTGTCCTTATTCACCAGGCGCGACCGGAAATGTCGCGACCGAGGATGTGCTCTACGCTTTGCAGGGATCAAAGTACAAAGTTGTTGGGTCAGAATACGGTAATGGCACCATTGATCTTGAAAAGATCATGGATATCGGCTGGTGGATCAGCGACAAGCTCGGGAGGGAGAGTATCAGCCGTGCGGGAAGGGCATTGAGAGCAAAGAAAATTCGAGATGCGGATATGGCCAAGGATGGAAAAGTTCATGCAAAGCTGTAGTTTTATTTTTCTGTATTTTTTGTGTATAACATGGATGAATGGAATGACTGACTACTTATCAACACGCAGTCAGATACTTCATCGTTCTCTCGATGTCTATGAGACTCCTAATAGCTGGGAACCGCCCCGCGTTGCACGACCGGTGATAACATCCGTCCGAACACAAATCCCAGCACGTCAAATCGGGGTGAAACTTGAACTGCAAATTTGCGCAGCACACAAGCAAGCATGAGAAGAGGATTTGCCGCAGTCTTTCTCAAGCCTGTAGTGGCGAAACAAGTACTTTTCCTTTACCCAGGATATTTCAGAAACGATGGCAATCCCGATCTGAAAGATAGACGTTAACCTTTAGGCGTCTAGTGATCGTCTTTAGACCGAACAGCTTCCATGCTCCAAAGACTTTGTAGATGAGAATTTAGAAACGCTGATTCCTTAAGTTAAAATTGACCAGCCCAAATCTCACGTGATCCTGGATGCTAACGTGATCGTGTTTCCCTTGGCAGGTGAGGAAATACTCGTACTCTTAACTCTTATTTCTTTACGCGCTCACCAAGATGGCAGGATTCTCTAATCGCGGCAGAGGACATAATCGCAAACGAAAACTCTCTCAGCCAACTCATAATACTCCCTCATCCACTCCAGGCCATGGAAGTCAGTCTGACGAAGAAGACCCTCCTGCTGTTCGAAAGAAGGTCCGATGGGAGGCCAGTCAAAGAAGCAATACCGAAGTCTCTATGGAGGATGGAATGGCCGATGGCGAAGAGAACGATAATGGCTCGTCTGAAGAGACTGAAACTACAGAAACAGATAGCTTAAAGGTGCGTTACTTGTACTTTCTGGTGATCAGTTCTCACTATCGGGTTTAGATCTGCCTGACTGCATGGTGCCAAAAGTATCCAGAGCTATTTGACCACGAATACTAGCTAATAATGACCTTTAGTCGTCGTGTTGGCATGGCCTACTACGATCCAATCAAATGTATGATTTATGTCTTGGAGGACACCGAAGAAACATCTCATTTCGATCTCACAAGGATGGGTGAGCCTTTTCATAAACTCAACATTCGAAATCCCATTATTTATTCCTTATTTAAGTACTGGAGCAAGCTAGTCCTGATGTCGTTCTCACTAGTTCAAGGTCGGACGATGCGTTTATGGACACAGTTCGAGAATTCAGTCAGTTTTCCCCACGTCCCGTGCGCATATAACTAGAACGTGCACAGTGGAAAGTTCTGGCGGGGTATTCCAGATCAGACCCAACAAGGAATTCTCTCCCGGAAAGGGAAGAGATAGACTTATGTCCCTACACCTACTCATGGACTTACCGCAGGAAGGGAACCTGGACTCTTCTGTGGTTTCGTCGGATGATGGCTCTTCGATTTCGGTTTCACGCAATGCGTACGACTTTATGATGACACGTAAAGGCGCAATGAACGATCCAACCACGAAACGATGGAATGCATCTATTCGACTTGCCAATTTTGGGTCTATGGAGTGTTCCCCGCTTTGCGTACGTCAAAGCACTCATTTATGTGCTCGACTATATAACATGTTCCTATAGATATCGTCTGTGGGAGCACTACTAGACCACCTAGTGCGCGAGCGTGCTATCAATGATTTTGCAGATGAAGGTATTCACGGTCTTGAAATCCGGGACATAGAATGCCTCGCTCTGTAAGCAACATTGCTCGGACACTTTTTCTCCGTCACTCACTTTGTGGGGTAGGAACGAAGTAATGCAAATCAATGCCGATGCACTTTGGTGAGTCCTTTTTTCAGTTCCTATCTTAGCATCATCTATAAGAAGTGTGCTGTAGTTCACTACAAGTATTTGCAAATGAAAACCATGCCTCTATGCACTCGAACAAAACCAAAGAAGGTCTTTCCCTTGCCGGTTAGTGCACTACTTTGTCGCTTCGTTCATTCTGAGCTCAGTTGTTCGACTTAGGAATTCTAAACGTCACTAAAACCGCTCTCGGCAAAAATCTCATGCGTTCTTGGCTCTTACGACCTTCTCTTTCCCTCTCAGTGATAAACGCCCGTCACAACGCAGTCGCATGCTTTCTTCGAGCAGAAAATGTCACGACGAGCAACACCTTAAACGGTCATCTCAAAGGGATTCGAAATATTCCTCGTATCTTGGGTGTGCTACGTAGCGGGAAAGCGAAGGCCCCTGAGTGGCAAGGGCTTGTGAAGGTGCGTTGATACTTGTGCTGGCGATATCGAATTCAAGAATATTCCAGTTCACCGTCTTATGCGCGATGTTAAAAGAAGCGCTTACCGAACTCCATGAAGCATCTGGTATCGATATTGTGCAAAAAGTGAGCAGGGGTAATGTGTCACATTTGAAAGAAACTAACCCTTGTTCCTAGCTGCTCTCGGCTTTGGATATCTCCTGCTTTAGACAGATCGGAACCAGGATAAACGACACTGCAAGTGTCAGTATCTGAAGAGACGTCACCATGGCTGAACGTTCGATTCTAGATTGATTGGGAGCAGTCCGCCGAAGCAAGGAGAGTCTGTATACGGCCTCATATTGACGAAGAATTGGACAATCGAAAGCATGTATATCACGGAATCGACACGGTTCTGGTATGTATATAAGTATTCCAGCCTGTCTTTGAAACGCATTTACCTCATTTTTGTAGTCAAAAGTTGCCGAAAGAATCTCCCAAGATGTTCCCTCAAACTATGCGCCCTCGTTGAATATAGTGTATTTTCCACAACTGGGTATGACTACTTTGTCTGTAGCTTGTATATATGGGCGACCAGAATGATATTAGGCTTCCTTATCTGTGTTCCTATGCAAGATGAATGGCGAAACGAAGCAGGGGTTCAAGTTATTGATGGCTGGAGCTTTCAGGTAACAACCTTGCTCTCTAGTCCCATATCCTTCGCTGATTTGTATACCCAGTTTTCTTCAGAGTACACTTTATGTTGGTCTTCGCTTCTTTGTCTGACTATTTCTTTAGATCGCATGTTTACTTCAAGTCGCAAGAGATGCATGGCGAGTACAATCATATCTGATGTCCTCTGTGAACGCTGTTTCTTGACGACACTATCGCAGATATGGACTTTCATATAGGAGATCTTCACTCCCTAATTGTTGACCGTGAAATCGAAATCGCTCAAGCTTTACTTGAGGAGATTTTAGTGCATGACGCGGCCATGTCCCATGCATGCGACGTTTGTGCCGAATTAGATTGTCTGCTTGCTTTCGCTGACGTCTCCAGATCGTATGATTATCGACGGCCTCAGATGGTCGAAGATAATATCATTGACATTGTCCAGGGAAGGTATGGGGCACTTCATGTTTTTGGTATTGATTCTCACGTTCGGTGAACTAGGCATCCCTTGCAGGAAATGGTTGTTGATACGTTTGTCCCCAATGATGCGCGGATAACTGGAGGAGATGGTCGCTTTTCAATGTTTGCCAACGCTTCAGATACCGATACAGAGTTTGAAGAAAATAGCTTGAAGCTTTGGAACAGTGTTCTACTATGTACCGGTGCAAATGCGTGTGGGAAGGTACTGTAATGATATTGCCCAAGTCCGAGGTTTTCCTGACCATATTCCTAGAGCGTGTATC